TGTCAAATATTCTTTTATTAATCCAATACTACCTAGATTAGAGACTTTTTTCCAAAATATAATCTTTTGAAAGATTTTATTTACAAATTTGTAAACGATAAAATTATAAATTTTATTTTAAAAGAAATCATAATTAATTTTCGCTATCAACCTAAAATTAACGAAAAAAGCTGAGATCTGAGAAAAAATTTTAAAAATCAACTTATTGTTGGCTTAAAATAGGGATGAGCCTTCACAAAAATCGTATATTTGTCAATGGTCTAATTAAGGTATTTAAGCTATTTGACTTTTAAATAAATATTTATCAAGGTTTTAAAATTAGATTATATTAAAATTAGATGACAGAAAGAGGACATACAGTTAAAATAGATGATTGTCCTTTAAAAAAGAGGACGTATGGTCAGTTTAAATTAATTTATATATCTGACTTTGGTGTACAAATTATGTAAAATGCAACAAAATAACAACACCGAATTTTTAATATTAAGCAGTTTACAGCAAAACTAAAAAGTTTACTTTTTTTTTTTTGCTTGCTACCATCGAAACAATTATTTATGCGTTAATTTAGGCTATTCATTGAGCTTAGGATGGTAAAAAGCAAATATTTCTTTTAATGGAAAATGCCGTTAACAATACGATCAGTCCGTTTGATTGATTAGGTTTTTGGATGGGATGTTATATTTAGCATCGTCTCTAGACTGGTCTGAGGTGTGAAGTTCATAAAACCATCGATCTGAAAAGGATTTTATGCAAGGCTGTCTCCACCGTTCTCCCTTTAAGGTATGCTTGTTGTGCCTTACAGAAATTATAAGGTGATAGAATGTTCCTGACATGGATATACCATCTGGTCCTGGAGATTTATAGATGACACCGCCCACGAAATTTTCTCCATACAAACAATAGCTCCATTAATTCACCTATATGGATTTGAGAAGCTGCAAGGTTCTCCGAGGTACAGCCCTCATTGTCATCATCCCCACAACCCGGAAAGTGTGTCTCCATAAGTAGTTCAAGGGTTTCGGTACTACTTTCATCAGGAATCCAGGACTACCAGGGTCTTTGGATAGCACCTTAAGTAGACGTGATGCCTAAGTGGTACTCTCCATTTCCTCACAGAAACGCTTCCAAGATTTTTTCTTTGCCCCTCTTGAAAGTGTTGAATCTTTAACGATAATCGTCCCAGCTTTATGGGTCTTGGTCCCTCTTCGCCTTATTAAAAAGTTTCTTAACAAATTAAGTACCCTAACATGCAGATTATTATATAAAAAATGCATATAAATTTGTATGTAAAATGTTTTAGAAAAACCACATAAAATTTATTTTTCATAACACTAGTTATGGACTTTTAAGTATTTTTCTGAAATTAACCATAGGAATTAACGTTTATTTTAGGTTTATTATTATTCCTTACAAAATTCCTAAAATAAACCATCAACAACTTTATTAAGTATTTATGAATATGGGGGTATGTAAATCTTTAAATAATACTTATATAAGCCTTCCTACTGCATTGATGTACGGTGTAAAAACACAAGTCAAATATGCCAATAGCAAGTGTACACATAAGTAAAATAATCGCTTCAATAAACATGTAAGGAAACTTTTGGTAACCGGTTTTAATAGTAAAAAAATTATGATACAACTAAAAGTTAATAAAAAAACGATGACAAAGCACATGATGACTAAAAACCATTCAATGCGAGAAACTCAAATGTTTGCTCGTAAAATAAATACGTACATATGTATGTAGGTATAAACCAAAAAAGTCAAAAACAATTGCAACAGCTTGTAAAATAAAACTGGTTAAGAAAGAAGTGAAAGTTAAAACAATATTTTGTGAAAAAATAACATTGAACAGCCAAAACTATATATGTGGCTGTGATGGGATTTAAATATTTTATTCAGTACCCATTTTGTACCAAAAACATACCACAATGTGATCTTAGTTATCACCATGGAAACCAAAAATGTGTTAAATAACCTTTAAAAATAATAAGTTTTAATTATTTTTTAACATTGAAAAGTTCAAAAAGATTGAGAATGTAATAAAATAATCAATATTTAATATTATATTTCTTCCTACAATATTTATTTTTGATAATTGATTAATCTCATAGTTTGAAGCAATAGTTTAATAGGATTCCGTTGTCCGTTCAGATAACCAATTTACAACATGAAGCCACAATTAGTCCCAAAAATAACAAATTTCAAACGACACAGTTTGACACATTTCTTCCAATTGTATTCATAGTTTCTAACTGACATTTTAATTGGTGTTGTCATAGAATCCAATAATTATCCTGATTAGGTTTGTAATAGAAAAAATGCATTGGTCTGGTGCGTGATGTGTTGATTCCAAATGACCAAAAAAAATTATAAATTAAAACTCACCCTTTAGTTGCAAATGATCGAAATTGTCATTTCGTAAATTTCAATATCAGATAACAACACGTTTTTGATGGAGATTTTGGTTGAAATAATTATATAATATTGCAACAAAAGAACTTGTTATTAGGTGTCAAAATAGGAATGTAGTATATGGATCTGTATTTATATTTCGTAGTATTATGTTTATTATGTAAATCTTTTGTTTGTTTTATTGATTAATTTAAAATTTGGAAAATGTTTAACAAAGTTATACACACACAACAACAAGACTCTTAATAATTTATTCAATTTGTTTGGCATCAATAAAAAGCATCAACATTTGTGGTCATTTGAAGGTCAAGACGCTATTCATTGTTGTTTTCTTTCATTTAGATTTGTAAAATGTTTTACTAGTGATTTATAGTTGAAAATTTTAAACTGAAAAGTAAAATTTAAAAGCATACCAATATAGGTGAAGGTAATGCAAATGCATACATACATATGTACATACATAGGTGACGAAAGAGCCACAATAGAAAATTACTTTCGATGCAAGTGATTTCCATCAAAACAACCAGTAATTTGAAAAAATGTGTTAAAAGTATGATTCTATACACTATGAGTTCTAGCCCTCATATCGCAAATAAGCGACATTTATGTATGAACAATTCATGTATAAATATATGACTAATATCGCTCATTTACTACAAGACTGCCATAATCTAAAATTCGGGTTTTGGGTACTGAGGGCTACAAAACATGCGTCATACGGAATTCTTTCATATAGATTAATCAAATCTCAATATGTCTATTTTTTCATTGGAATAGCCTATTTACACTACAACGAAATTTAGAACTTATGAGATTTCGTGCAAAATCTAGTTGATTTTAACTGGATTTCCCATACAAAACAGAATCTACTTCGTAACTAGATTTTCTTAAAATCTACTCAAAATCTAATAGTTTTTAGTTATGCGACTCTGATTTTTCCTAAATAATACTAAAAAATACGACGCTACACAAAAAAAAAAGAGAAAAACAAAAGAAACAAAAAACAAGTTAGAAATTATAGTCGGGCGAGGCCGAACATACCCTTCACCAATTACAAAAATAAAATGTGATTTAGTTTTCATAACAAAGCATTTCGACTCAGAAAATGATTCTAAGCCGATTGGTATACTTTAAGGTGGGTATAGGACCAATATTACTGTGCGTTACAAACATCAGCACAAACCCAATATACCCTCCCCACTAAAGTGGTGTAGGGTATAATTAAACTAAAATGTCGACAACATGTTTATAAATTGAAAAACACGAATGAAAAGTTAATTTAAAATAAAAGGTATTGTTATATTCAAATATATATTTTTTATTATAAATAAAATTTTAATAAATATCATAATTTTTCCATCTTATTTTTCTTATCACACACTTTTTCTAGAAATATTAGAAAAAAATTAAATCTTCTTAAAAGTCAAAAATAGTAAGTGTAAACGGTCTAGATTTATAAAAAGATTTTAAATGAAATCTACTAGATTTCGTGTATGTGTAAATGGAATATAAGATCGATTTTTTTGTTTTAAACGTAAAAATTAAAAGTAATATTTTCAAAAATATTAGATAAATAAACATTTTAAAAAATAGTAAAATGTCAATAAACATTCAAAGCCATTTTTCTCATACCGACTATTTTTGGATTATGCCAGTCTTGTAGTAAATGAGCGATATATACATATGTAGGTATATTTGTAATTTTATCTAACCATTCGGATATCACCGTAATTAATATTAATTTATGCTAATCATGCAGTTAAATCATCGCCCTCAAAAACATCCAACAAAAGTTACATAATTTCAACACAATAACATTTCGATTCAGATGAATTTCATATCATTAAATGCCAACAATTTAAAAAATATGTATGTATATGTATACCTATGTATATATACATACATATGTCTGAATGTAAAGCCACACTTTCTTTTATATTGGGCAAGGTCTGGTGATATTTTAACAAACAAACTGAATTTTGGACACTATGTAAATGTTTCGAAAAACAATTACGAAAACCATGTCAAAATGTGGGTCGAAGTTTATTTATACTTAATTCAATAGCTATATCTTAGATGTAAAGTTATTTTTATTATATAATATTCGAATTTATACAAAAGATTTTCTTTTGTATATTAAAAAAACATACTACAAATTCTATTACATTCAATTATTTATAAATAAAATATAATTGACAAACATGGAAATATTAATGTATAATTATACAACTAAATATATATATATATATACATATATATATGCACGTGTAATATACTTCCAGCTCTATACTTCCTAATAGGATTTAACAGTGCCCTTAATACAACAACAGAAACTGTGTTGCTACTCTTTTTAAAATATTTTTTGAATACAATCAATATATAACATGTGGGCTATTTCTTTACATACTTTTAATTTATAAATTTTGATTGTTGAAATAATCTTATTTAAAAGTATGCAAATTTGCTGAAATTCAAGCTAGATTTAATGCATTTGATAGTACAGAAAAGAGCAAGTCCTAAATTGCATGACAAATAAAATCTAATTAAAATTATTTAGAAAAGTTAATGCGACTTCAACTTACTTTTTATTTTACTAATTAATAGTATTCCACAAATAACAACCGCAGCAATTGATGCACAGATTAACATCAGTGATTCATAATCCATGTCTTGCATATAATCGGTAAATATATCCATATTAAGTACTTGTACTTTTATTTAGAAAAGTTAATGCGACACGTTTTTAAGAATTTCTCATCAAACTCAAATTTTATATTCTTGAGTTTTTTTTTTAATAACTTTTATATAAATTCATGAACGTTTTAACTTTATGTATGGGTATTTTGCCGTAACGCACCTTGTCCCTTGAATTTGCACTTAGTAACATGTGATACTTCGCTGTTTTGTATATAGTTCATCAACAAGTGACATATGGCACGTTACATCCGCGTAATCAATTTTATAATTAATTGAAAATAATGCCATATTCGTATGGGAAAACTCATCAAATTAAAACTAATATCTTTTAAATTTTTTACTAGATTTTTTATTTTATGAGGAATTGTTGTTGTGATTATTATTATTCTTTTAACAATTTTTATTTTTATTATAATTAGATTTATTGATAAATATTTGATCTAATTTATTTTTAATACAAATAAATACATTCTCTTGAAGCAAAATTATATTTTTTTTTGCGTCACGTGTGTCGTTTATAAACAAATAATAAAAACTTTACTTTTTGTATTTTCAATATTTTCACTTTTCATTTAACATAGTTTTTTTTTTTGAATTTATATTATTCAAAAAGAAATTTGTTATTTATTTTATTAGATTATTTCCCCTCTTAAGTATCGCAAAGACAGTCCGCTCTTACACGCGAAACGTTCAGTGTTAAACTGATTTTAAATTCGGTAGACGTTCATGAGTATACCTATTCACTTGATTGCTCATTTTGCTTTATTTACTCACATACATGCTTGCCATATTTAATGATTTGTTTGTAAAGTTGGGGATTAAAAACAAATCATTTGTCTGAAATATTTTGGTAATATTTTACTAAATTAATAGCGATGGCATTATAGTTTATTCAACATTATTTGCAGTTACAAAAATCATGTAAGATCAAATGTAGATTTGATGCATTTATTTATAATACCAGGAAATATACATCGGGAAATTTTTTTTAATTTAGATTTTAGGGTTCAAAAAATGGTATTAAACAAATTTGTTTAATAGCACATCAACGATATTTTCCTTGGACATTGTCTGACATCCTGGAAATGCAATTATCTTCTCGTGAATAACTTATAGCAAAAGCCGCCAAAGTCCCAAAATCACGTTTTTACCTGAAACTCAAAAATCTAAGTATGGATATAACTCACAACGAAGGACCAAAAATACAAATTAAATTTACCCAAATATTTTAAATATTTTACTAAATTAATAGCGATGGCATTATAGTTTATTCAACATTATTTGCAGTTACAAAAATCATGTAAGATCAAATGTAGATTTGATGCATTTATTTATAATACCAGGAAATATACATCGGGAAATTTTTTTAATTTAGATTTTAGGGTTCAAAAAATGGTATTAAACAAATTTGTTTAATAGCACATCAACGATATTTTCCTTGGACATTGTCTGACATCCTGGAAATGCAATTATCTTCTCGTGAATAACTTATAGCAAAAGCCGCCAAAGTCCCAAAATCACGTTTTTACCTGAAACTCAAAAATCTAAGTATGGATATAACTCACAACGAAGGACCAAAAATACAAATTAAATTTACCCAAATATTTTAAATATTCGTAGATAAATGCGTGTTTTCAACCTCTTTAAAAAATATTTTTTATGAAACTAAGTACACATTTATTATAGATTATTTAATTAACATGGTGAATTATTACATTAATTTACAAGCATTTATTTTTGATAGATTAAAAATTATAAGTATTTTAATTTATTTATTCATATATTAGAATGCATTTTTGTAAATTGGATTAAATCCAAAATGGTTATATTTTTTCGAACGGCTTAAAGATTTTGCTATAGATCTCATTAATAGTAACCTAAGAGTGTATTAATTTTATTTAGCGGGAGGGGTGTGCTTCATTAGTTTTTTTTTTTTTTTTTTTAAGAAAAACACTGCGGATTCTGCACACGAGATGTACATACATCATAAATATTTTTGAGGTTTGCAAATAACTGCATGTTTATAATTATTTGCTGCTTCCATTACTGAATTAAAATGAGTAAATAATATAAAAACCGTTAAACTTTTTTCAATGCATTTAATGCAAAATCGGAACTTTTTCTATCGGCTTATCGGTTTTTGGTATAAGCTTCATTGTCAGCAACCGATTAATGTTAAGTGCTACCAATATTAACTAGCAGTTTAGGTGTGCTCCGTCGAATTATCTTGTAACACAAGAAACATCGCGACTTAGGTGTGCTTCATCGATTTTTGTTGTAAAATAAACTCCCCGTATTCAATCCACGAAAAGCCTTGATTAAATTGTTTTAATGCAAACTATGTAATTCTTTCTATATAGAGATTGATTACTGATAAAATGCAGAATTTGAAATTTGTTTATAATGCGAAAATGAAAAATTCGCAATTTTTTTGTATTCGCTTTAACATTTTGGGATGCTAGTATTTTATCGCAGCTTTATGATTTTAACATATAAAATTTAAAAGTATTTCGATCACGCGATATTTTGGGTATATTGAAGTTACGCTGTTAGGGTACTTCGCGAAAAAGCCCTTTTCGAAGCTTTCACGTTTATTTTTCGAATATTTAAGCTTCTCCCACAGTGATATCCTCTATAGCACATCTTAGAGATTACATTAAACGACGCGAAGAGCCGCAAATATTATATTCAAAAAACTGCAAATTTTAACATATAAAATTTAAAAGTATTTCGATCACGCGATATTTTGGGTATATTGAAGTTACGCTGTTAGGGTACTTCGCGAAAAAGCCCTTTTCGAAGCTTTCACGTTTATTTTTCGAATATTTAAGCTTCTCCCACAGTGATATCCTCTATAGCACATCTTAGAGATTACATTAAACGACGCGAAGAGCCGCAAATATTATATTCAAAAAACTGCAAATTTTGTAAAATTGTAAAAATTTGGTTTCAAAAATTTTTTACTATATCAGTTATAAGCCAACCTCACAATATCCAAAAGTTGTAAAAAAACTAGTTGGTTTCAATGAGTTTTTTGAGAATTTTTAACTTTAATTGTTTATTTGTAAAACATGGAACTACTCTTGACCACAAAATTTTGTGGACTTATTCTATCCAGTCTTGTGAATAAAAATTCCTCATCATTTAATTTTCAAGATATTAAACGAAAGAAATATTTAATGAATAAAGTTGATTTCTTAAAATCTAAAACAAAAAAATAATTTTCTATACATACAGTTAATCTCAAAAATAAGTATACAGAAATACTGACAATTGGTTTTATTTAAAAAAGCATATTATTTTTTCAAAAATCAAAAAAGTAACATATTTATTTATTAAAAACAATTATGATAATTATTATTCACTACTTTTTTCCGGCTTATTTTGGTTACTTGAGTTCTCATTTAAGGTGTAGTTAAATAGGTACAAAATTTACGTCACAAAAGTAAGTATACAGATAATTTCAATATGTATTTGGCTTAATGATATTAACAAAATTCATGAAAATTTTACCTGTTTGAATGTAATTATTTTACAATAAAATATTCTGTACACTATAACATGGAAAAAATTCACTTTTTGTTCCGAAAAATTGAAATTTTTGGTAATTGATCTGAATATTATTTACTGGAGCATTTTTTCCTATTTAAGAACATTAAACCCCGGAGTTTTGGATCGGGTATTCAATAATATCCCTCGTTTGTTCATTATGATGCATTGGAAGACGATATTTTAACTTTTAAATTAATTGTTTCTTTACAATAATTACAATCCATTGCGGAACATTGCCGTTTTTAACATAGTATAGCGTACATATTCGATATTTAACGGCGATTTCCTAAAATTTATGTCTTAAAATGCGATATTAATAATATTTGCACTAGTATCCATTAATTAAAACAAGTTTTTTGGTTCCAATCATCCATTACACACTCCTAAATACTACCAATAATCGTCAAATGGTGACCTAGTCAAAAACATACACAACATATCGGTTCTGAAATTGATTATTGTCCAAAATAGTAAGATTTTTATATTAAATCAGGCTCAATTGGTGGTATGAATACGAATTGAACAATTTTGAACACGGATACATCTTAATTTGTTGCTAGAACAAATAAAATGTCCGATCCATAAAACTTGGTTATTGTATCGAGTATATCAAGATATGATTGGTAGGTAGCATTATTGTATGCTTTGGAAATCGGAGTATTTGGAAAACCTGTTTAAATTAAAGAAAAGATATAGAATTATCCAAATTTTAAAGTTTATGTTGTAAGTCTTAAGAAATCGGAGTTAAATTTCGGGTTTTTAAGAACGTACTGTGTTCAAAATGGCCAAATCCATGCATATAACATTAATTTCGAAATAACAACTCTTTTAAAAAGTTAAAAATTCTATTTCCAATCCATCATTTGGAGGGAAAAAACGAAAAAAAATCGTAGAAATGAGAAAAAACTGTTCTACTAATTAATTCCGGAGCCAATCGGCCCAAATTTCAAGATTTCGGAACTAAAAGTAGATTTTTTCCAAGTTATTGTGTAAAAAATATTTTATTAAAAAGTAATTACAAGTAAAATTTTCATAAATTTTGTAAATATCATTAAACCAAATGTATACTGAAATGATCTGTATACTTACTTTTGTGACGTAAATTTTGCACCTTTTTAACTTTAGCTTAAATGAGAACTCAAAGAACCAAAATATGAAGAAAAAAAGTAGTGAATAATAATTATCATAATTGTTTTTAATAAATAAATGTGTTACTTTCTTGTTTTTTGAAAAAATAATATGTTTTTTTAAATAAAACCAATCGTCAGTATTTCTGTATACTTATTTTTGTGATTAACTGTACATATGTACCTCTAAATTTCTTTATATGTATATTGATAGAGGGATTTACATAAACAATAAAGTTATTTATGCAGAATTTTATCGTGATACTAGTGTGATGCCCTTGCAAATTTCATTAAATTATCTTAATCGACTCAGAAAGTGATTCTGAGCAGATTAGTATACTTTATAGTGTGGGTGTAGAACCAATATTTGTGTGTGTTACAAACATCAGCACAAACGCATAACACCCTCCCCACTATAGTGGTGTAAGCTATAAAAATAAATAATACGTAAATTTAAAATAATTGCTTATTGTCTAAAGCAATGATGATAAGGCAATAACATTAATAAAGATAAAATAAGTTTTATATATTCTAAAAATTCATTTCAATTTGAAAAATCTTCGGACGATTCAAACTCGATCCTGAATTTACTTATTAAATATATAATATAAAAAAGTTACTACCATATGTATGTAGTTAAACACACTTGTGAGAAGTTAACTCTCTCACAAAACTTAAAATTTTCTTTGCGAAAATTCGAGGATATACATATGTAGTTTTTCTAAAGATTTTGTGGCGTGCAAAACTGAGTACATGTGAGTTATTTATTTTTGTTTTTTTCACATAGAAAAATTAAATAAATCACAAAATTTTTACGGGCTCTACATGCTTAATTTCATGTTTCTAGACCGGCAGATAGAGAGGCAAATAAAAAATAACTACTACACACACTATTGGTATTTTTTCAATGAAATTGCACTGAAAAAAATATTTGACTATTTTCAATTTTGAAGATTAAATTGCATTACGCTAAAATGGGAATATTTATAAATAAAATGTAATCAATGAATATAAGAATGATAATTTCTTCACATAGAAACAACATTTCAAATTGAAATGTACAAAAAGTATTAAACAAGATGATCTTATTTACTTTCATTGTTATGCATTTTAAAAAATTATTTAGGGTGTACGTTGTTTATGTAACTTATACTCTTGTTTTTTTGTTTTTTCAAATTGTGTTTGCAATTTTTGAAACAAACTGCCGGTCCACACTAGGAAACTATTTTTATGAAATCGTGATTCAGAGTGATTTACGCCAAATTTTTCACCCAAAAGAGCAATACAATTTCAAGCATGGTTTCTTATCCCTTTAATAGTAGTTCTTTTTTTATTAGATGATAATTATTACTATTATAATAATTGTATAATTTCTTCAAGTAACTTTATTAAAATCACAATAAAAATTATAAATTTACTGTTATTTCACCCCGTTTCATTTTTTTGTGCTAGCGGAAAAAGCTCACTTTTTCAGCAAATGTAAAATATTTAACTTTGTGTAATAGTGTAGTAGTGGCCTCCGGTAGGTTAGTGGTTAGTGTTCTAGACTGGTAGACCGGAGGTGGTGGGTTCGATTCCCACCTGAGGCACTGGTTAAGGAGCGCACAACAGGCCCGATAGAGGCCTAGGTGTATTTCTTCGGATTTGATGTATATACATCCTCCTTTCAAACTAACTAACTAACTAACTAACTAACTTGTGTAATAGAAACAAGAAACAAATGTTACTTATTTGGAAGCTTTAAGTTAAGAGAATAAACAGTAAAAAGAAAAGATGATTCATTACCGTTATTTCGAAATCGATGATCAAATCGTCACGTGTTGTATTTTTTGTGCTTGCTACTGTATAATTTGGCGATGAAGGTAGAAAATAATCTGACAATCCTGGTATAAGTATGAACGAAAAATCTAAATTTTTGAAGAAATTTTCATAGGTTTTTTTTCGGATTTTTGCTCATAACTATCCCTGTTATTTATGGGCCGATGTTTCTGATTTTTAATAGGATTCGGAATATATGTACTTTACAGGGTCATAAAATTATATTATCTAATTACATATAATTGAAATTGGTTATATGTATCTCAATTACACATTAGAAGTAATGAAGCACTTAATAAATATATATGGGGAATTTCGTGTCAAGTGAACCAACTTTAAATCGATGTCTTCCGATTTGGATGAAATTTGCACCAAGGTTAGTGGCATAAAATATTACCGTAGAAGGCCAACTCTCCCGGAAAAAACCTATCTCAGCTGTCAAAACAAGTAAGAAAGTATAGTCGGGCGAGGCCGACCATATGATACCCTACACCAGTTATGAATATTAAATGTGATTTATTTTTCATAATAAAGCATTTATCTTCAATATTCCCTTGTTCCGATACATTTAAGCAATTTATGGATGAAAAACTAATTTTCTAAAAGAGGCTTTATATGGGGGCTAGGGGCAAATATGGACCAAGCCCGATAAAATTTTGTAAATATATTTATATTTACATAATATTTTATTGTGCTGAATTTCATCGCGATATTTGTGTTTATAAGTTAATTTGGGACATTCAAGTAATTTTCTGAAGGGGACTTTGTATGGGAGCTAGGGTCAAATGGGGCCCGATCTTTATGAAATTTGGCAGGGTCATAAAGACTTCTATAAAACTTAGTTGTGCCGTATATTATCGATATATCTGTATATTTAACATAATTATGAGCTCAGAAGCCCTTTTGGGGGGGTTCTGTTCTATGGGGGCTAGGTGAAATAATGGACCGATTTTAACCATTTTCAATAGGCTTCGTCCTTGGGTTAAATAAAATGTGCATGCCAAATTTCATCCAATTATCTTGAAAATTGCGACCTGTAGCTTGCGCACAAGGTTTACATGGACAGCCAGCCAGCCAGACGGACGGACATAGCTTAATCGACTCAGAAAACGATTCTAAGCCGATTGGTATACTTTAAGGTGGGTCTAGGACGAATATTTTTGTATGTTACAAACATCAGCACAAATCCAATATACCCTCCCCACTAAAGTGGTGTAGGGTATAAAAACTTAACTCTATATATGTATTAGTAAGATTTTCTTTAGAAGTGTTAGTGTATAAAAGCTTTTTACCACACATAAAATGCCCACATAGTTGCATAAAATCGGTCGAAATAATAGTGCAATGTTTTTATTGCATTAATTTTCTTATATTATAAAATTTCAGATTGAATATTGCATTCATAAAATATGATATTTTTCATGCATTTTATATTTGTTAAAATGTAAATTTTTTTAATTATTTCGATCACTGAACACCAAGAAATTAAACTGTGACGTTTTTTTACAACAATAACGTTACGCTCTACTCACAGTTCTGTGTAACTCCAACACACATGTAAAAATGTCACTCTCTCTCAAAACTTCAAAACTTTGTCGCGAAAATTCGTGGCTTATTGCATTTTAAAGTATTTTTTATCACTTAAAGTTATATTTTATTATTTTTTTGCACAATTTAAATACATTTAATAGCCCGAAAAGAATCTATTTTTTACAAACGAAAAAAAAATATTTTTTATTTTTTTGACATTAAATTTTTGTTGTTGAAATTAGAACTGAAAAAAGACAATGTTGTAAATTTTCGTATGGTACAAGAAAAAAATATTTCAAATAAATTATTTATTTTTTCAATTACAGATCTTTTGAAGTTTCCTCAATGTCCACACATAGAAACTTTAGTTTCAGAAACTACGTATTAATTGCATTGATTTGTTGTACGAATAAGAAGAATAACAAAACAAGTTTCCGAGTACGAGAAACTCCGTACCGCGAGAGAGATGAATGAAATTCTTTCTCTTTCTCTCTCACGCAAAATCAAAAGTTTCCTAATGTGGACCGGCAGTTAGGTACTTTTTGACAGCGTTTCACTTCTTTATGTTCAGTGATTTCGATTTTCATAAATTTGCTTGCTACTAAAAAATGCTACTGTGCACCTTCAATTTGAAATTAGAAAAACAAAAAATGAAATATCAAATAATTAAAAAAATAATTTTTTGGTTTGTGAAAATTAAAAAGATTTTGATAAAGAAAATATGTATATTAAAATAATGTATATGTATAAAAAAAACAAAAAATGAAATATCAAATAATTAAAAAAATAATTTTTTGGTTTGTGAAAATTAAAAAGATTTTGATAAAGAAAATATGTATATTAAAATAATTGCAAAAAAAAAAAAATAAATAATGCGAGTTTGTGTTATAAAAACTTTGTCCAAATCATTTTTTTGTGCTAATTTTGGACTTGAAATATTGAATATTTGTTTTTGTAGTTCTGTGTTGAATTCACACAGAACATGTAAGTGTGAATAGAGAAAGCTCTTTTTCGTGATAAAGCTTGAGTTAGCAATCTACGTGTATTATCTATGGCTATCTATGTCATCTATGCCCTCCAGTTTAGCCTATATGTATACTACTATATGGCTTAGACCATTTCATAACCTAAACTTGTGTTTCAACCAGTGTTGCCAAGTGTAGGGATTTTTCCCTTTTTGTAGGGATTTTTTTCAAAATTTTGTTATGTAGGGAAAAAGGGAAAGATTTCGCACTTTTGTGAAATTATAGGGATTTTTTCAATTTCATAGTTTTTAGCAAATAAATAGATTTTTTCAGGAATATTAGATAGATACAAATTAAATTTCAATTAAGATGAGAAAAAATTAACCCCAGCTATCTGAATCTGGATTTTTAAAATTCCTTGATTTCTTTAAAAGTTATTAAAAAAAGGCAAATATCATCGATTATGTTAGTCTTATAGAGCGATATATTATGACTCCTTATAGATAGCGAAGTCGATTTGGCGATGTCCGTCTTAATTTTTATTTTTAATTAATTTTTTGAATTCAGAGTTTTGAAAATTTATAAAAGTAGGCTTTATTTAATTATATTAATTAATAATTATATGAAAATATTATTTTTAGGGGCAGCCAAGATATTTGGTAATGTAATTAGCACACAAAATAATTTTTTTACATCGAATGACGTATCAAGATACTGCAATTGTTAACTGGGTCAGGGTTGGAAGATTTGTATGATGTAAAATTGAAAGTAAAAAATAAAACTTTAAAATGGAAATTTTAGAAATTAAATTCCAAAACAACTAAAAAAAGATTTAATTTTTTAGCTTTTTATTTTATTATTATTTTTTTAAATAAACATGCAAAAATGGAAAAAATTGTATAGGGGAAAAATGTAGAAAAATAAAAAGTGGATGTAGGGAAAAAAGGGATTTTTTCTCATAAGCGTAGGGATTTTTGAAAAATATCTCCTGGCATCACTGGTCTCAACAGGAATTTCCATTACTTTTTCTATTCCTTAAGTTTTTGGAGGGTTTTTTGTGTCAATATCTGTGTTTAGGAAAAAATAAGAATTTATGTTTATGGTTAATTTTGAAGCGTTTTTAACGATTTCTGGAATTGTATAAATACTTTTGAAAAGAAAATAATTTGTATAAATAATTTTGAAAACTCAGATTGTTGGTTTCTTTTAAGATTTTTACCAAGAGCCACCACTTTTTTTCAAAAAAGTTTTAACTAGCTCAATCTATACACTTTAAGGAATAGTATATCAAAATTTGATTTTAATTCGGAGCATACTTAAATTTTCAGTATGTCTTAATAAATGTGACTATGGCTGTATATATCCCACTCGCATCCCACTAAGTAATCACAAAGCTCTTAAAGGCAATGGTCTAAGCTTTCTTTTAAGTAAAAAAACTTTACCAATAGCAAAACAAAAGAAACAACAACAAAAATACATTATGGGACTATAAAGCCCTTTAGAGAAAAAAATTAAAAAAATAATGAAAAAATAGCTATCTGAACTCCTTTGGACAATTTTCATTTCAATAAAAACCTGCATGACCAGAATGTCCATCTTTGATGGATAAGTCCGGCAGATCTTGACCGATAGAGCTGAAAATTTTGTCTGACCTACTATCCAATAGTCGAAATAGATTTTTTGAGTTGGGTCACTTGACATAAAATTCCCCATATATTAATATACATATGTTTTTTCATTTTATTAATATCAATAATATACATATATTGTTTTTTTAAGCCGTGATTAATTTCAAATTATTTATTATTTTAAATCATAATATTATTCAAATATTTTCAAATCGTCGAAGCGTTTTAAGGTGTACTTTAAAGTATCTGTTGTTCTAGGGTTAGAAGTAAACATAAGTTTAACCTTTTTAGCCGCAAACTCTTTATTTGCAAATGCTTCAATACTGTTGTCCAGAGAATCTTCTTTCTTCATTGCTACCATAGGTAAAAAGGCGTAGGATGCAAAAAAGCCATATAGTTCTCGTGAGTATATTTCAATTTTTATATCATCCATCGTTGGAATATGGTTATAGTACAAACTTCTCAATGAATCTCGCAAAGTTTCATAGTATGATTCAATTAAAAAGTCCCGACGATTTATTAACACATCCAGTTGAACGCTGCTATTCAAAAAAAAGTTTATATCGCAGCCTGGGCTTCCAAAGAAACTATTTTGAAAATCAACCTGTACGAAAGTGTTTTATAAGGCATTAGTTTCCTTTTTAAAAATAAATGTAACTCACAAATAAGACATCAATGGGTTTTTCTGGTCGACTTTCAGCGTATTTAAATAAAAAATTGTTAACCCATAAATCGCCATGATTTAAAACTAATAATTCACCGGGCTTTTCTTTGCCTGTTTGAACCAAGTTTTCAATTAAATGATCACAGTGTCTATGCAGTTTCTCCGATATATTTTCGTAGCCCTCCCAAGTCTTAACTAAATCCGCCAAAGTTCTCAATAATAATGTCATGAAATCTATAAATCTTTTACTAGTACGAACATAGTTTTCATCTAGCATTCCAGTTCTGAAGTGATCTCTAATACCTCCATCCTTGGGAAATATGTAATAATTCATAATTGTTTAATTCTAATGATATTGTTAATATAGTTAATAATTTTTACCTACCCTTTTAAGTAAAAACATGGATGAAGCATGAAATTTTGCCAATTTCTTTAGAGTAACGATGCAATGTTCTTCATTCAAACCATTTTGACGATTGGCTAATTTATATCCATACTGTGTTAAATCGTCAAAAACAATAGTTTGCATCGGTTCACGTGTTGTGTATAAGCATCTGAAATAAAAACATCATTATAAGAACTATTTTCATACATACAGTGTCAACATTTTGACGTGTGACCATACAACTTTACAAAAATTCTGTCCGAATGTTTTTTTTTTTTTGTGCGAATCTTGGACTTCACAAATCAAAATTTAATATCGGGATTTAATAGACCCCTTGAGATATCTAAAAATAAAAATGTTAAACATTCCAAAATATATTTTTGGGATCGCTCTTCTGTTTCTAATTCAATTACCTAGATCTTCCATTTCGTCCATTTTCTATAACTAGGGTCAAAATTTTCCGAAAAAGTTGGTCAGTATATACTCTTGTAGATATCACTGTTAATATGTTCCATGTTTCTTGGACTATAATAGTCTGTAATTAACATTAATCAACTCTGGAAGTGGTTTTGAGTCTATTGGACTCATTTAAGCTAAGTACTATTATTTTTGGTTTTTACTAAGATTACCTGACTCACATAATATAAATTGTAATGGTAGGGTACAAAATTCAATATAATTCCTGATTTTTCCAGTTGCCGATAAATAATAATCTTTCTATATTCGTGTAAAAGTGAAAACTAATGAATACATGTATTTATTTGATAGATTTACTGCATTTCACCTGGCTTTAAAACCGGTAAAACTATTTTTTCAAAAAGTAAAAAAATAGAATATCCCGAAACACGATTTTTGAAATAGTTAAAGAATCGAATTTTCTAGGATTGTTTCTATTAATTATCATAATTTTTTAATGAAAATGAATAGTACTGACAATACCAAAAACGATGGTACCAAAATATTTTTAAAATTATCATTTTTACGAGAGATATATCAAAACAAATATATTTCCTTTTTAACAGCCTATTATTTTGCACAGCACTGTATTTGTAATTTCCATAATTTGCCGCCATTCAATACAGTGGATTTCAGTTTTTACTACTAATAACTTCCCCGCTTATGTTGTCCACTACAGTAACACTCTAAGTCCTAGGTCTTGAGATTATTTAGATCATCGTAAATAATTTTTAACCAGATATCAATATTTTAAAGTTAAACCATAATGATATGATAATAGGCAGCCTGGAAGACATTGGTTATAAAAAGAAAAATTCTACTATATTGAATGACGTTTTCTCGAGGCATATTTTGGTGTTGAATAACGCAGTGAGACAAAATAAACAAAAATTGAAACACCTGGGAAGTGATACTATTTTTCTGAAAGGTGGATCCGAGTAGAACAAGAATATGTTTTTGAAATTTGCCAAACATCTCCAAAAACCGGTATTTTACGGGTAAAAAACCGGCTTTTCGTATCTTTAAGCACTTATAAGGCAGTAACTTAGTTGAATCTGAACCATCGTTTGGAGAAGCTTTTTGAAAGTATTTTATATAATAACCGTACTATTTATTAATTGATTAGAAACCCATGATTATTTAGGAGTAAAACGCAACATTGCTTTAAAAATCCGTTAACAACGACGTTATTGATCTTTTTCTTAATACAAAATTTTTCTAAAACTGATTTTCCGAAAGATGCTTTATACGGGGGGTAGGGCTACGCATCATTATATTTAGTACCTTGAATTTCATTTTAAAATTTTATATGAATTTCGGTCAATTTTTAAATTGTGTACCCTTGTACCGCTGTATCTAGGAAGCACTAAATTTAAATTACTATTTTATTATTTTTAGTACTTTGAATAATTTTTTTTCTTAAAGTTCACAAAAAGCTTATTTGGAAAATTTTGTATTATTAAATACATAGTAACAGCTGTATTAATAAAAACTTATTTTAGGTTTATTAACCAATTTAAAATCAAAGAAATTTATCAATATTTGCAAAAATTTATCAAAAATTGCAATAAAAATAAGTAAAAATTATAAAGTGTGCAATAGTGATGTTTATTTTGTCGCAAATATTTATCGCGTACTTTCAATAATAATAAAAAATATAATAATAGCATTACAATAAAAAAAATAAAAAAAAAAAAAAAACAAAAAAACGTTATACGTTTTCTTAAAAGTTCGTTTTTATTGTAAAAAATCTATTATGAACAGAAATATAAAATTAAGAACACTGAATCAACGAATATTTTATCCTAATTGTACGCAACACTAACACATAAAATGACAGCCAAATTGTACAGTGCTGTCCAGTTTAACAAAAAACAGCACGATAGTTAATGTGGGTTTATTATTTCTTTATGAATATGACATTTTTATTAATGGTATTTAAGGCTTAAGTGTGCTTTAACTATTGTGTGCATTAAAACCAAAATAAGAATTTTTTTAATACAAGCGAAAGTGTATTAATATTGTAATATGAAAAAGAAAATGTGATTTTTGCGGTAAATTATTAAGATTTTTTGAAAATTTATTTAGATCAAAAATATTTTCTGTATTATTGTATTTGTTTGTAACATACATAAAAATGACTCAGAAAAGACTCAAAAATTGCTAAAATATGTTTCGAAAAAGATTCTAAAACGACCAGTAATTCGACTATTATTATTAATTCGACTATTATTGATTAAACAAGTGGTTGACTGTTATTTTAATATCATTCATAACTGGGTCATTGCACAGACATTTCGATCACTTTAAATTTTTAACCCTTTTTGATTTAGTTATAACTCAGAGCATTAATATATACTCTTAAATGCGGTTTATAGGGGGTGATCTCAAAAAAATCAGCACAATAAAAATTTAAAAAAATAAATAAATTGTTTATTAAAAAAACTTATATTGTCGAAATCGGAGATGATTATGTTCAAAATCCCAATTTTTATTTAAAAATTTTATGCAATTACCTACATACATAATTTATTTCAAAGCATAATTTTTTCCAATTATGCTTTGAAATTTTGTATCTGGCAATTTTATTTTTCATATTCACAAACCATTATTCATAAATATGTATTAAATATTCTAAACCTATCGGTTTTTAATAATAAGGTGCAAATGGCAATATTAATTGTTCAATTAGTTAAGGCTAAAAGAAAAGTTTTACTTACTTTGCTCCAAATTTGGAACCATCAGTAATCAATAATTCCAATTTTCCCAAAACGTCTAAATAAAATATCTTCTCTCTTAAAAACACATCTAGATCATCTAAAAATTGTGTAGCTGGCGTAATAGCTATGCTTTTAATAATTAATGAAATTTCTTTATCCGAGTGATGTTTAATACTACGATATAATGCCCGTGCACGGTAAATTTTGCTGCAATAATTCTCTCCGCCGCCATTTGACTCTATAAAAATAATTTTTTTAATTTCAATTTGTTTTTCGCGTAAACCATCCTCTAATGCGGCTTTGAAAAAATCCTTGTTTAAGTAAGCAGGAGCTTCTGATTTATTGTCTAAAATCATGATTATTCTTTGACGAACATTAAATTTGCTCGTATTAGTTACAAAAAATATTTGCTTTGAGAGTTGACGTTTGATTAACTTAAAATGTATTTGTTGAATAGATTTGTTTTGCTGTTTTATTGTATTTTATATACAATTCCAATGGTCTAGATTGCTGTTTAAAGTATTAGTTTGGCCCATTTTGTTAATTTAAATTAATTTCTTATCATAGAATTTTCCATGTCTCTTGACCAATGACTATTGCAATATCTTGTTAACTACTTATGATAGTTGTTAGAGTTGCATGCATGCACTATTATCGTAAGAAGTCCTTAGAGATAATAGTTCTTTGTTTATTTTTATTTATTTTTGTTATTATTATTATTTTTTTTTTGCATTATTATCTAGCAAGCAGCAAAAAGTAATTAAAAAAAAATATCTAAAAAGTGGACTTTTGACTTGGGAGCTATACAACTAGTTGCAATACATGACCAAATTTTACTGGTCCTATATACACTGGTGGCCAAAACTAAAGCAACTGATATAAAATTTATGGGGAATGGTCTATAAAATTTTCTACGGTGAAAATTTGTTTTGTTTTAGATAATATAATTTGTTAGCTATAAAATAATGCAAAAAAACCTAGTTTTAATGCATACATATGATTTAAGAACACAAAAAGGAATTCATACTCAATATCAATTGGTCAAAACTAAAGCAACTTCTTAATTCATACTTTTAAAATTAATTTTTAATAAAAAAAAAATCATATCATATCCATAATTTTTTATAACAGAGGCACATGTAGGAGGGATAGGAATAATTATACGCTTCATTTGATAATTTAAGATCCTGTTCCTTGCTTTTTTTATACTATTAAGGATATTGTTGGCAAAAATATTTAATACATAGAATGTGCGTCTCATACAAGATAAATTGTCAATAGCGATACATAAGGAATACGTGTAAATCATAACAACCCGCACTTGAATAATTTATTAGTATTCTCACAGTAGACTTTTTCATGCATAATCCGTTAATATTATGTTCAGACTCATCGGAATAGTAAACCAATGAACATTGGTTTAAATCAACACTTTTTCTGGGCGAAATTAATAACAACAAAATAATTGAACTCTTTAAAACCTAAAATGGAGCAAAGGCATAATATAAATAGTTGTATTACAAAAAACTTAAGAGAAAATTATTGCATTAAAAACTTGGTACTACCATTTCGACCAATTCGACAAGGAAACCTTTGATTTTGTGTGAGAGAGAAAGAGAAAGAAATATCAATTGGAAATAGCATATAAAAATATTATTTGTGTAACTTTTGAAGACCATCTAAGATATTGAAATTAAGTTTGATACCAAATATTTTAGTTCAGAACTATAGATAAATTATTCAATGTTTTTTAAATTATATACCAGAAATTTACTCCTTAGATCAGTAATCGGAATAACAACAACCTTATTTATCTGACTTGGTACTACCATTTTGACCAATTCGACAAGGAAACCTTTGATTTTGTGTGAGAGAGAAAGAGAAAGAAATATCAATTGGAAATAGCATATAAAAATGTTATTTGTGTAACTTTTGAAGACCATCTAAGAAATTCAAATTAAGTTTGATACCAAATATTTTAGTTCAGAACTATAGATAAATTATTCAATGTTTCTTAAATTATATACCAGAAATTTACTCCTTAGATCAGTAATCGGAATAACAACAACCTTATTTATCTGACTTAGATCTAACAAGTTGTCAAAAATTGTTTATGTCGCCATTTTTCAATTGTGTTTTCTATTTGTTAAAATTTGTAAAAAAAATTAAAAAGTGAATTTAAAGTGGTTTAAAAGGGCCTTGTGTATATTGTTTTTGTTTTTTGGTGTATTCAGTTTCGTATGTTTGGATGTCTGTTGGTTTCATTGCGTTGTGTATTTTGTTTTTGTTTTTTGTGTATTTCGTTTCGTATGTTTGGATGTCTGTTGGTTTTACTGTCTTGTGTATTTTGTTTTTTTTTGTGTGTTTATTTCGTTTAGCGTTGTTGTTGTTCGTTTTGCTATTGCTATAATAATGATATAAACGGGAAAATTAAAATTTTATAGAAGGATTTCTAAGTCTAGCGCCATTAGGAGTGTCCTTACGCAAGGCCTCTGCTGGTTTAAGCCCTGTGAGATCTGAGTGGCGGTTAATGCTGAGGTGGTGATGTGCATCTTACGGAATCCATGCTGGTGGCGAGCTGCTGTTAGTTAGCAGGACAGCTGGGGGAGGAGGAGCGTCTCAAGAGTATTCGCGACTGGTAACAGGAGGGAAATCGGCCTGTAGGATTGACCCTCTGTCGCGTTCTTCCCTGGTTTCAGTATCGGATAATACCGGTATTATCAGGCTGCTCATTGACTGATTAAAATCCATTGTCTACCCGTTTGCACGTTCGGCAAGGTGTTTCAGCATCAGCATGGATATGCCGTCGGGGCCAATCGCATTAGATGGTTTGGCAGCTTTGACAACCTCTGCAACTTCAGAAGGGGTGAAGGGTTGTGGAACGTCTGGGACGGGACGGTTGCGGAGTTTCCGAACAACACTTTGTTTCGCCATCTCTCTATGTGTGCTCAATAAAAAGCCGGCAAAATGCACGCGAGCACCGTTCAGGGTCGGAAATAGTGGTGTCTGCAAACTTAATCGCGACCCTGTCATCCTTCTTCGACGGGTTGGAGAGAGACAGAACTGTATACCACAACTTAGAGTTGTGGTCTATCTGAAGAACTGCAACAGAGCTTAAGTTGCAGTTTTTCAGATGATCTGGACGATATGTGGGTCGGGGTTGGTACCTCGGATGTCATCGCTCTCGTCTGCTAGTCTCGCTGCCTCTGCTGAGAATTGCGGCCGCACTTCGGATAGTCGACCAGCAGGAATAAAGCGGGCTGCTGCTGCGATGACAGTTTCGCGGAATTTTCTCTCTGCTTGGATTACGTTGCTAAGAGCTGGAAGATCATTGAAGATACGATCAGTGAATTCTCTGAAGCCAAGCCAGTCTGCTTTCTTTTGGTTTATGTAGATTTGGTCATTGAGTCGATCCAGATAAACGATTATGGGTAAGTAGTCTGAGGGTAGAAAAACTACTGCTCTCCAGGTTGCATAGTTTATCAGACCAGGGCTCGCTATTGTAATGTCTGGAGAGCTGGCGCAGTTACCCATAATCCGTGTGGAGGCATCATCATTTAGTGTGCAGAAGGTAGATTCGTCAATTTGTTCCGCCAGTGACGCGCCCCTCTGGACTTCCCCTATCGCCTTCTAGTAAGGTCCTAATGTCGGGAAGGAAGCCTGATTGACAACTGGCTACTAGCGGAATGCAGACATTATCGAGCTCTAGGTCGGTTTCCCCGGATCTGACTGCAATACCTTGAACTTCAGGGTTTTGGTCTCTAGCGGTATTATATATGCAATGCCCGCACCGTTGCTTCTGGTGCGCTCTTTTCGGAGAACGTTCTAGAACGTTTTCCATCCGTATTTTCTCTCAATGTGTGAAGGTTTCATTACATATTGTGTTTAGACGATCTCTTCCGTATCCTTCTACACAAAATCATTGACATTGAAAAGGTATGTACTAATATTTCCCCTTTCTGAATCATAGTTCGAAAAATGCCTATTAAAGCTTCCCAAAACCGTAAAGTGTGTGGTTCAAATTTCATTAAATTCGATTCAGTCGTTTGTCATAATAAAACGTAATTGCATCACAAAATGTATCAAAAATACAAATATTTCCTTTGCAGTTTAATTTGTCAAAAATATTGATATTTATAAATTTAATTTAATTTTTAATTTAAATTTATTACTAATTAAAATTTTAAACCCCTTATTCACAAACAACATTTTTTTATTCCATTTATAAACCGTTATTCTAATTTATAAACAGTTTATAAAATAAAAATTTTGTTTGTGAATAAGGGGGTAAATATATATGTAAGTAGAAATTACTTTTGTTTCTTCATTTAAAAAAATAATAATTTTACCGCGTTCCGTATTTCGTCCCTTTCTGATTTTTTGGAATAAAGATATAACCAATCGAAACTTCTAATTAAAGATATATCTCTGTTTAAAATTTCTTAAAGTTGGCCCAGCCATTATTCACAAATGTATTTCTTGTTATTTTATAAAGCTACAATTTAGATATCATTGAGTTATGGCAACACTTAAAAAATGTATGAAAAAAGTGCCAAAAATGCAAAACATTTCCCTCTTTCCCTATTAAATACAGACTTCCCAAATTTATGTTGTTTAATGTTGCATCAATTGTAGAATAAATATGTAGAAAAAACACGAAACTCCACTTTTTACCATAGAAAAATAAATAGAACTGAGACTGAGAATAAGAAATATTACTCTCTCACATGTACAGGTTCTGTGTGAATTTAATACAATTGTATGAGTATTTTTATTTTTGTTTACATAAAATAACAAAAATATGAAAGTACAAAATGTATCCGAATACATCATACCCTACCACATTGCGAGTAAGTAGCAATAAGTTATTTAGTATTTTTTAATGTAGAAGTTATATTCAAGAGATTGATGTTTGCTTAATTAATGAATGTACTACTCATTATAACAATATATAGTCAAAATTTCGAATATATAAAATTTGTTGAGTCGAATTTTATAAATACCCTATTCTTGTATAGCATGTACCGCTTACAAAAAAGTTCAATAGGCTAATTTATGGGCGGATTACATCATTACATCGACGCAGGTGTTACAAACTTTAAGACATAAACAAAATACCGTTCCCATTAGTGTGGTGTAGGGTGTATTTTGACTGCATTTGGGCTGCTTTGAAATTAACAATAATCGTTCATATCAAGCGTTAATTTCAGCATTAGCACAATTCCTTTGGCAAAATAGCCCCTGCTGCTGCAATAAACACTGCTAAAAGTTATGTTTTCCCATAAAATTATTGAAAACATTTTCAGAAAAAAAACAAATTTTTCAATCGTTTTTATTTTTTTAATATTATTTTCAAGTGTCAATATTGACTCAACCCAGCAACCACAAAGAGTTTATTTAAAATTAAAAATAATTTTTAATGAAGATCTTTCTTACATTGGTCAACTGATA